TTCTGGTTTTGCTGACCAAGGAGTCAAGGGCTACAGCCCACCTGTTAATCCTGTCACACTGTGACCTTGTAGTTCCACAAGGAAACACTTCAGAATAAAGGACCCTCCTTTGGGCCTGGAGGGCTATCTATCCTTCTCTCAGGACTGAGGCCATCTTGGTGGGTGGGGACAGCATCCCTTGTCTGTCCCCTTGTCCCTGTCGGTCTGTGCTCACAGTCTTGCTCACGGCCAGACCCATGCATGAAGCCATGGGCCAGGCAAGGCTCTGTCCTCTATGGAGTAACCAGATTTAGCAAATAACAGCACAGGTGAAACTAGAATTTCAGTTAAACAGTGAATAGCTTTGGTATAAATATGTCCCTGATGATATTTGAGACACACTTACACTAGAAAAGCAGTCATTGGTTATTTGAAATTCAAATCTAATTTGACAGTCTGTATTTTCCAGGCCACCCAGGAGTCCCCAGGGCTCCCCTGCCCCCATCTCACCCATCCAGGCCAGTTTCCCCTTTGTTTCAGCAGAGGCCACTGACTGACTGGAACTGATTCAGGAGTTCTCACAGAGGAAACGAGATATTTAATAAAGAAGGATAATTGTTGCTTAAACGGTTTAGCTTCCAGATCGTAAGTGGCCAGTCTTGTGACATGGGGAGGGGGCTTTTCTTTGACCGTTTATTGGCATAAGCACCCAGGGGGCCCAGCTGTGCAGCTCTGTGGGCATGGCACCCCCTGGAGGCAACCTTCAGGAACGCGTGGACCTAAGTCACCTTCTGAGTTCCTTAGAAGCTGGTATCCATGAGGGCTGTGCACCTGAGTTCTCACCTAGAGCCCTTTTACATGTCCACTGTGTTTCCTGCTCTTAAACTTATCCCACCCACATCTACTATGACGGCTTTCAGCTCAGTGAAACTTTCCAGATCAACTTAGCTTTCATCCGAATTCTGCTCTTTCAGAATTCATGACTTTCATGATAACTAGTGAAATTCTTTTATTAACATAGCAAGTGCAGTTAAACCTGTGGTTCTGGCAGTATTAGAAGGCACTTTTGCCCTCGTGGGAGCCATGCCCACCAGCAGAGTTTGGAGGGAGTGGAGGCTAACACTGGTGGGGTGAGGGCTGTTAGGACACGTGTCCTGTGTCATGGCAGAGAAGAGACAGCAGGGTGGCCAACTGTGGGGAACTCTGCTCTAGTGCTGTGCAGTTGGATGGCCCCATGGTCAGTTACCAGGCCCTCAGGTCCTGCCATTGGCAGCCAAGGGCTCTGCAGGAGCCAGGACCACAGTCGAGCAGGAGGGTGGCGAGGGTGGCATCACCTGCCGGGCTGAAGAGGTAAGGCAGAGTGACGCACGGAACCCGTCAGAGAGACAAAGGTCCTGGCTGGGGAGAGCGGGTGTCGGAGGCAGAGAGCCAGGCCCCAGGGCTGATGCTAGACACATCCCAGGGGACAGGAGGGGACATTGGGAAGCAGTCACAGGCAATGCTGAGGCCCTGAGAGCACCCCGTGTGAGCAGTGTGGACTTGTCCAGAGCATATGGAAGCCACGGGACAAGGAGAGTGCAGAGGTGGAGTGTTCCCGGAGGACCTGTGGCCTCAGGACTTTAAATCCTGAGCAAGCATCTGTGCTTGTGTTGGGACAGATCAAAGGACGATGGCTGGTGACCTGAGTCCATCCTTCCAGAGAACAGAGGTGGGCGGATGGGCCCTCAGGGGCACTGGCAACTGTGGGGCTTAGGGACTAACCAATAGGCCATGCCTGGTGTCCCAGGATGGTCAGCAGGGGGCACAAGACATCTCCAACTCCTTCCCATTGCTGGTGTTCCCTGCAGCCTGTTTCTTCTCTGGATTTGATTCAGGAAAACTGGCCCTGTGCAGCCTATGGGATTTCTCAGCCAAGGAGGTGCGGCTTTCTGAAGCCTCAGAGAAGTCTATGGGGGTAGGGGTTGCCAGGCAGGGGCGAGGACGGTGATCAGGGATGGTCCCCCTGGGAGTGGTGGTCAGCCAGGCTTCAGAGCAGTCTCTGGGCAGGTTTCAAACCCACCAGTAACTGGGTTCATTCCAGGCCCATTATGTTACGTTAGAACCCCACACTGGGAAGCTGGAAAACCCAGCCAGTCCCAGTGTGCCTGGGGGTTAGAACTGCACGTGGCATTCCTGCCCTGCTCAGTGTTGCCTGGAAATATGCTAGACCTGGAGATGCTTTAGAAAATGCCCCGATTTTCTGCTTGGAAGAAAAAAGATCCTACCTTCGCCCCCCATCAAATTTCTTATCAGTTAAAAGTACAGTATGGTACTCTTACCAGTGATGCTTACCACTGATCTCTGGAAGTCCGTGGTAATTATTCTTGTATAAAATCGTCACTGTTCTTCACACATACAAAATGTCATCTCAAAAGCATGTCTACCTTGAAAAGTTCTTTTTCTTTCTTTCCTTTGTAGCACTGGGGATTGAACCTGGGCCTTACATGTACTAGACAAGCTCTCTACCACTGTGTTAAAGCCCCACCTTAAGTGGTTTCGTTAAAACATTTTACCTCCAGAACTCAATGCACAGTTTTGTTCATTGAGACTTTTATATGCATCTGACTTTTTCTAAAAGCAGTTTTAGCTAACCTTAATTATTTCTGAAAAGGTTATCTCAAGATTGAGGTAAGCATGTAACTTAAATGTCACAATCTAGGATCACCAATTTCAAAAGTTTGAAAGACTTCAGTGTGTAAATATAATAAAACAAACTGTTGGCTCCAATAGAGTCACTTTACCATTTTTCAGACACACAGTGTTCTATGTTTTTAAATCTTCTTAAGTAACAAGAAGAGGCTGAACTGTGACATTCCTTAGACAGATCTGAAGTTAGGAAACAAGACATTGTCATGTTTCAGACTTTTAAAATTTCTAGCATAGAGATATTTTCTTCAAATAAAAATTTTCTTCAGGAAAATTTCTTCAGGATCCCTGGCTGTTATTAAAGATTGTTCTGGGGCCCCCACCAAATAAGAGCATACACCTGGGTGTGCAATCCCCCTGGAGGGCATTCTAGGGGGCTGCTGGAGAGCAGGGGAGAGAGGGACAAGGGCCCCAGTTGGTGCCCTCCAAGCGGGTCAGGAAAGGTCCCTGTCCAAGCCAGTGAAGAAAGTGGCCAGAAGGGCTCAGGAAGAGTGTGTGTGTGATGGCAATGGGGGTGGCCAGGTGGGCATGGCAGGCCGGAGAGTGGGTAAGAGGGAGCTGTTGTGGTGTTGGGTTTTAAAAGTTTTTAAAGTTTTCTTTTCTTACATGAAAGTAATAAAGTAGGGAAAATGCATATAAGCAGACAGAAAGAAGAAGTGCGAGATGTTCATAGCTCCACCACCCGACACCCTCACTGTTCTTCCTATACAGCTTTTTAATAGGAAAACAGTTCTAACGATATGGGATCTGTCACGTTATGTCATTTTTCCCTCCTAACATCCCAGGCATCTTTCCACATTGTCTTCAGACATGTGGTCAGCGGTGGGTGGACAGCGAGCCAGCGCCCTCTGGTGGCCCTTTCTCAGTTGGATGCTGGGAGCTCAAAGCCTCTGCTTCCTCCTGACTGGCCAGGCCCCTTTAGCTTGGTGATTTCCCTGTGTTCTGTTGTTTTGGTGAATCATAGCCAAGAGCACATCTGTGTGGAGTGCAAGAATGTTGAGCATCCTGCTAGTGAATCATGGACCTGGGGTGGCCCAGGAATGTCCACACAGCTGCCCTAAGGGAATGCACCACTTCCTATCGCCACTGGGTCTGGGATTCTGAGAATGAAGCTCAAAGTCTAATCTTGTGGGTGACTGCATTACAACACAAGTTGAATGCACCAGCTCTGGTTAAATTGAGGACATCTTTTGAGAATGAATAAGTCTTTAATTATTTCAATGGGGACACCCGCACCAATTAGGAGTCTGGGGACCTAGAGCAGCAGAGCCCCAGAACATGGAGGGAGGGGAGGAGGTTCCTGGCATCCTTGAAGAGTCCTGGGGTATAGAGGAAGGACAATGGAGGTCACTGCCATGGACATGGGTCTTGCGTTCAGCAGGAGGTGGCACCTCGGGGGCAGGGCACAAGGCTGCCCTTGAGAGACAGGTGGGCCTGGGTACAATCATGGCACAATCATGGTGGCCTGACATGAAGGGCCCCTTGTTGCTGGCTGCTGGTGTCTCTGAGGCTGGGATTGTCTCTTCCCAATTAGAGACTTAGAGGTTTAGATAATCCAGAAAGTTCTGGTCTAGAGACACAACTCAGCCCATACTTCCTTCCTGTCTGTGACTTTGATCAACAATTGTCCTGGGACAGGACCCTGACCCAGGACTTCTGACTTGTCCTGAGGGGCAGCTCGGATCACTGGCTCCCTTCTCCCAGGAGCAGGAGTGTCAGCCAGTCCCAATATCAGATTTAGAACATGTCCCTGTGGGGAGGAAATTGGGCTTGTTTCAAGTACCAGTGCTGAATTCAGTCCTGAAAGTTTTAGACACGGGCTGCGCAGAGATGTTTTTCTGTCAGTTTCATCTTTGGATCAGATGCCCATGAGTTGCTCCTAGGACTCTGCCTGCCAGCAGGGGAACAGAGGCCCACAGTCCTCTGGCTGGGGAAGAAATATTCAGATTGACAGCTCAAGCAGGTGGCGTTTCCTTCCTTGTCCTCAGCCCTCATATAAAGAGGCGGCTGAGAGCTGGCAGGGCCCTGCACAGGCTGCACAGCTGAGGTGAGAAGACAGCAGTGGCAAGGGACCCTCTGGATAGCTAAGGAGTGGATGGAGGTGCCATCTCTTAAATAGTCAGAATTAAGTAAGGCCAAAGGAAGGAGGGGGCTCACATCAGAATAATGGTTTGAAACATCTGAATGTGAAATTGCTGTGAAAGTGCTAAGATCCCAAGGATGGTGCATGTTGGGACAGAAGAAGAGTCTGGGGTTGCTGGGGCATGGTCTCACCCCTCTTGGTTCCTCCTGCTGCAGGTGAATCTGAGTGTGCTGATCGGCCACACTTGAGGATGATGCAGGCTTGCATGCTGCAAGGACTGGCTCTCTGCCTCCTGCTGGGGAATCTTGCAGGTAAGGGGCTGCTCAGGGACAGGATGCAGCCAGCCTGACTTCCATAAGCCTCATGCCCTTCTTTGGGCTCCTCTCTGCATGCTTTCTGTCCTGTGGGGTGGGGAATCCATGGGCCCTTCAAGGATTGCCTTGGGTGAAAGATGTCCTCTTGCTTTGCAGGGGCCAAGCCCGTGCAGGAGGAGGCAGGTATGTTGTTGTGAAATCTCTCCTTTTATTGACATAAACAACTGATATAATGGGGGGGTGGAGAAGAGATTGCTGGGAGTGGGGGCTTTACTCCAGGCAGATGCAGCAAGAGCCTGGGTTCCACTGAGATTGTGAGAGAAGGTGGGGCTCCCTGCATGCAGAAGGGCCTTAAGCTTCTGCAGGCCACCCTGTCCCCAGAAACCTGGGGACACCTGTCAGGAGGGATCCCTGACAGTACCCCACCACCCAGACCCAGGGTCACCTCTGACTCAGTCCAGTGTCATCAGGTGTTCTTGGTTGTGCTGTAGGGCTGGGGCTGTGCTCTCGTCTGAAATTCTACCAGGACACTGCCCAACCGACATTCTCACCACACAGTTGCCTTTTAGTTCAGCATCTCTCCAACCAAGGCGGTCCTCCCCATCCTTCTTCACCTTCCTCCCCTCCCTCTCTTCCTGTTCCCCAGACCAGCTGTCCCCAAGGGACAGGGATACTCAGGACCACCCAGGCCTGGAAAAGTGCATCATTGCGGTGCTGCTGACTGCCACCTACCTGGCCTGAATCTGTGGAGGGTGTTATCTGGGCAAGGAGGGTGGGGACGGCCCCTGAGGTGTATCGTGTGTCTTTCAGACCCCTATGCTCAGCCTCCAGCCATGCCCTACTGGCCTTTCTCCACCTCTGACTTCTGGAACTACGTGCAGTACTTCCAGACACTGGGCGCCTACCCTCAGCTGGAGGACATGGCCGGCACCTTCTTTGCACACTTCCCCCTGGGGAGCACCCTAGGTTTCCATGTCCCCTACCAAGAGGACTGAACAGCATCCAGTCTGGTGCCTGCTCACCTGCCTGGAGCCTCAGGGCTAGCCTGGGGATGTCCAGAGCCAAATTGTTGGGGCAAGGGGTGGGGGTTTATGCCCAATAAACTCCCAACTGAAGATGTACAAAGGACCTTGTGGGTTTCCTTCAAGAACGGCTGTCCACATTCTCCTCTCCCTTATCATTTCGTGAATTCACCTGGCTTTATTCTGATAATGAATGGACACTCCTTTAATAAACATGTCCGCAGGAATATAAACAACAACTCTCGTCATCCATTTCTCATGATGACCTGGGGGGGGCTGTGGTTCCCCTAGATTGCAGATGGGAATGCTGACAGAGACACCAGGCAGGCCATGTAGCTGGTTAGAGGAGCCAGATTCCTGCTCTGGCATCCCCTGCCCTAGGCCACTACTCTGAGCAGCAGCCACCCGGGGCCAGGTATAGGCTCACTCATGCACAGCACTCTGAGAGCATTAGGAAGTGAGGAAGTCAGACCTCTGTCTGTGTGAAGGCTACAGGGTTGGAGGCTGCGCGCCTCTCTACTCAGGGAGAAATTGATCGAATGGGTGGCTCCCTCAGTCTGACCTTCACTTGGGTGCCCCAGAGTGACACACACTAACCACTGACCTGGCATCTGAGGCTCTTGCCTGTGTTCAGTCGTTGCTCACTTCTTCCCCACCCTGCACCATCCATTTAGGCTGGTTGGCCCCTGCTCAGGCCACAACCCCTCACATCTTGACACAGTTCCTGTCTCCCTGAAGCCACCCTTCCCCTACCCCTCAAAGCAGCTCAACCTCCAAACCCTCCTACTTCTTGAAGTTGTTAAAGAAAAAAATAATTCAAGACAGTGTTAAAGGAGGTTAAGGACCATGATACACAGTCTTGCAATGTCAGGGAGACTGGACTCAATTTCAAATACAGCACAGGCAGGTGGGGACTGATAGTGAAGAAGCAGGGTGGGGATGATGAATGGAAAATGACAGAGGAGTAACACGGGGGGATAAACCAACCTAACAGGAGTCCCGCTGACGGCAGGCCAGGGTGATCAGACATGATCTGGGCGTGTGGAGGAAGAGGAAGCAGATCAGATATGCAGGGTGATCAGACATGATCTGGGCATGTGGAGGAAGAGGAAGCAGATCAGATATGCAGGGTGATCAGACATGATCTGGGCGTGTGGAGGAAGAGGAAGCAGATCAGATATGCAGGGTGATCAGACATGATCTGGGCATGTGGAGGAAGAGGAAGCAGATCAGATATGCAGGGTGATCAGACATGATCTGGGCGTGTGGAGGAAGAGGAAGCAGATCAGATATGCAGGGTGATCAGACATGATCTGGGCGTGTGGAGGAAGAGGAAGCAGATCAGATATGCAGGGTGATCAGACATGATCTGGGCGTGTGGAGGAAGAGGAAGCAGATCAGATATGCAGGGTGATCAGACACCAGTGGCAAAGGAGTCTTGCTGTACTGACTTAGCAGGGTCTTTTGCTAAAAGTGATCTTACAGGAAATGCACAGGTGGTCCCAGGAGAAGGCTCCAGAGCCGGGATACAGTCTGACCAATTAGAAACTTTGTCCCCTATATCCCACTACCTCATGCTTTCCCAGCCTCCATTATTTCTCTCCCCCCTTCACCCACTCCTCTGTTCCTCCTTCTCTTTTCCCTCTACTTCTCTTCTCTTTTCCTCTCATTCATATTAAAAAAAACCTGCAAATCGTAACAATATAAAATTTACCATCCTAACCATTTTTTACTGTAAGCTTCAGTGGTGTTAAGTAAACTCACACGTTGTGTCCCTATCATCACATCCACCTCCAGAACGCTTTTCACCTGGTGCAACAGAAAGTGTCCATTGAACACAACTCCTTATGCCCCTCTCCCAGGCCCCCGCACCCACCATTCTACTTTCTGTCTCTGAATTTGACTAGAGAACTCAAAGAAGTGAAATCATAGCATTTATCTTTTTGTGACTGGCTTATTATACTTCGTGTAATGTTTTCAAGGTCCAGCCATGCTCTGACCACGGGCCAGAAACTTCTTTGTGTTTAAGACTGCATTGTATGAGTTGGTCCCATTTTGTGTATCCATTCACTTCCTCCTTTTGGCTCCTACGACTAGTGATGTTATGAACTCAGGAGTGCAAATATCTCTTCCAGATCCCCTTTTCAATTCTTTTGGATATGCCCACACTAGGATTCCTGGGTCATACCCACATTTTACGCCAGTCTAAAACCTTCCGCCCTCCTCCAGGCTGCTGTTCCATTTCATGTCACTCCCACCGGCACTGGCCAGGTTCCAATTTCCCCATCTTCAGGTCAACACTTGTTACTTCCTGCGTTTTGGGGACAGTAGCCATCCTAATGGTGTGAGATGACCTCTCCCTGTGGTTTAGACTTGCATCCCTGGTGGTGTCCAGCACCTTGTCCCTGACACGTCCGATTGTATCCTTCCTTGGAGAAAGGCCACTGGCCTGCTTTTCAATCTGCTGGTGTGACTCTGGGAGTTGAGTTTTAGGTCTTTATGTTCTGGATGGGGCCCTCGTCAGACACGCGATATGCAGGGCTTCTCCCGTCCGGGGCTGCCTTTCCTCCGATGATCACAGGGGCTTGAGGGGTGTCTTGACCCCGTCCGCGCTCCCTGCTTGGCCTGGGGGAAACAAAGCCAGCGACCGTGAACGTGCAGCAGCGCCGGGGACGCGCCCCCGCCGGAAGGCCAGCCTTAGCCCAGGGACCACTGAGTCCTGGTCCTCCCGCGTCTAGAGCGGCCGGGCCGACGCGCGCCGGAAGTGGGTGCAGCGGGCCGGAAGTGGGTGCAGCGGGCCGGAAGTGGGTGCAGCGGACCGGAAGTGAGCTCAGCGCCGCGGGACCGAAATGAAGCCGGCTGTGGATGAGATGTTTCCTGAGGGCGCCGGGCCCTACGTGGACCTGGACGAGGTGAGGCGGGCGGAGGAAGCAGCGAGGAAGGGGGTGAAGGGGGTGAACGGTTCCCCCGAGGCCCCGGAGACGCCGGGGTCCCGCGCCTGCCGCGTCCCGAGCCGCTTGGTGGCCGTCTGGGAACTGGGGCGGTCAGTGCCACCAGGGACCGCGTAGGCGGACAGGTCGCTCACGACCCCCGCGGGACCACGGCGTGTCTCGGTAGGCGAGTGGCAGCAGTGACTGTCGCAGGCTGTGAGCTCGGGTTGGGCGACGGTCCTGAGTGGGCGCTGACCCGAAGCCCGCAGTTCTCATTGGGCCTCCTGGTAGATCTTATCCCGGAGGAGGGAAGACCGAAGCAATGCTCACACACGGCGATGGCGAAGGAGCAGCCCTGCCCGTCACTTCTGTTAGAAGGGACAAGGAGAGGTGTGGCATTTCATGGTGATTATGCAGGGTCTCGTGCCTTGTGGTCACAGACTGATCCTATCTGATATGGGTGTTCTTTGGGATGGTTTATGGTCAGCAGAACCCCACAGCCCAGGGAGTGTCAGCCTAGCTCTTAGATGTCAGAACTTCCTGATCTCCTAATCAAAGCTTAAGGAGTAGAGAGATGGTCAGATGCAGCCTCTGTCCTTAGGGAGGTTAGAATCGCAGAGAGGCTGATTGTACATACTAAGTGCAGCAAAGCTGGAGCTGTCTGTAGAAGTGCCTTCAGGGCTTTGAGTGGCTCAGACAGGCCCAGGAGAGGAGCTTCCCTGGAGCCAAATGCTGAAGGATGTGCTGGTGGTGTTTTGTGGACCAGATGAAGAGAAGGCGTGATGCTTACTGGCTCACTAAGGGAAGGAAATGCTAGGTATTTCAGCATGGTGAAGCTGACTGTTCCTGAGAGAGGGGCCAGACCTTGAAGTGATGCAGAGTGGGTGGCTCTACGCAACCCATTCCTAAGGCACTTGCAGTGAACCCAAGCTTCTCAGCCCAGTTTTAAAGTCCCTGGAGAAGCTGGTGTGGAAGACACTGGAGGTTGCCACTGTAAGGAGAGACAAGCTCTGGTTTGCTGTGCCAGCTGGTCCCATGAGGGTTTGCAGATTGGGTTTGGGGGAGAGAGCAGAGAAGTGGAAATGGGAGAAAGACTTGAAGAGGGTCTAAAATGAGCAGATGGAGGTAGGACAAAATTCAACCCAGGATTTAAGTAGAACATTGTGGTGATGGACTAAGGGTCCTCAGCACAGCCATGAATAGGAAGGAGCACTGGAAGTTTTTGAGAACCAGGGCAGGGTTGAGCAAGCAGTCTTAGGATGTAGGGGCCAGCTGTCCAGGTGCTACCACCAAAGGACTGCACTGACTGACCCTGGTAACTAAACAAGGTGCTGAGTGTGTCAGTTTGCCCAGCTTGGGTTGTGGCCTGGTTTTACCCCCACTGTAGAATTGCAGCAGGGAGAGGTCCTTTGAGGGCAGCATCTCACTCCCGCTTCCCCCTCCCAGAAGAGAGCAGGGAGGGATCCAGAGCAGATAGTGGGCTTGGTGCCACACATGCCTGCGGCCTCTCTGGCAGTGTCGAGGAGGAGTGAGACTCTCCTGGGAGAATGGCACCAGGGCAATGGCGGTTTTCTTTTTAAAAGGCAAGGAAGAATCAAGGAACCTACGACCTTGAGAGACCTTAAAAATAATTTGTTTGAATTCCTCCTTCACACACACTTCTTGTCTGGAACTGGAATTCTCCAGCTTGAGCACTTTTCTTGTCACTCAGTGTCCTATTCCATTGAGGTGGGGCTGTAATGGACTTACCACCTGCTCTCCTTACCTTTTCTTCCCCAGGCTGGAGGCAGCACCGGGCTCTTGATGGACTTGGCAGCCAATGAAAAGGCAGTGCACGCAGACTTTTTCAATGGTAAGGATGCAAGGATTCAGGGTGCCAAGTTGAACCTGAATGTTTCCTCTGCAAGTTAATGCAATGAGGCAACTTTGTGACATGAATAATTTGAATCAGAGCAATGAAGCCATTCTGTGCCAATTTCACAGTATAGTGCACTGTCTGGAGTAACCACACTGGCTATTAGCACTGGCAGTCAGCTCTGTTTCTCAGGAAAAAATAGCTGCAGTTGGTCCCCATCTCACTCTCAGTGGCTGAAGTTGAGCACATTGTTAGCTTTAGCACTGCTAATGGACACCCAAGACTGACAGGATCACCCGTATCCCCAGATGTGGGCATAGGAGCCCTTCTGGTCTGGTATCTGCTCTATCCTAATGGCCCCTTTTGTTTCCTTTCCTAATTTGTGACCCATACCTGTTTGAACACTTGGATTCTTATGCCCTCACCTGCCTTTGCAAAGTTAACAGCTGTGCTCTGGCTATTCCCCATCTCTGAACAGGATGTAGGATATACTTCCATCGTATTTAAGAACTTTCATGTTAGTTACCAAGAGCATGGGTGAAGTTTTATCAAATATTTCACTATTTAGTGAAAACTGACTGCCTAAAGTCTTCAGACATGTTAGAGGCATATTCCTCTTGTGCTCCTGATTTCTGAAGGCCCTGCTCCTATAGTTGTTGTAGCCCTTACTTAGAGCTCCAACAAGTGGAAGCACAAGATAGGCTTCCTACTTAGGAGAGTGAGTGGTATTTTTCTCCCTTTTCCTCCTTTATTCGCATGGTACCTACTCCTACAAAGAATTCTGCTTCAAGGTAGTGGTACGTGGGACTGACCTATGCCACATTGGTTTCTACCTTACCTCTGAAGTCCCAAGCCCAGACTGGTTTGTCTGGCACATTGTCCAGCAGTTGCTGCCCAAGTAGAGAAACCAGCTGCCAAATGGGACACAGTGTTCTCTGGGGACCTGGCCGCTCCCTGAGGCAGCATTCTGGCTGCCACCATCTGGTGTCAGAACTGGAGGGTGTGAGCTTGGAGCTTTGAGAGCTGAATAGTCTCCTCTGAACTCTGAGGGAAAAAGTGGTACAGAGGTGTTGGCTGCTCTCCAAAGCCTCTTTTGAGAACACGGCTCATTCAGGGTGCTTTGGGAGTCTCCTCGGGAACAGTTTGTGTCATCCCAAGCATTGGCACCTTGGCTTACATGTGTGGTGATCTTCAAGGTCCCATTCGTCCTTTGCCAGCCCATTGTACTAGCAATCTCTGGTGGCCCAAGATGCATGGGGCCAGCACCCTTTCCCACAAAGGCTGGTGTGGGAGGCCTCTTCCCCTTCCTCTCACTGCCATGGAGTTGCACTTCTGCCCTTTTCAGTGTGCACAGGCCTGGGGTTAGTTCTTTCTCTTCTCATTCGGAGAGTGATAACTCACCCATGGTCTGCAACTTGGGAGGAGTGTAAAAGTAAACAGAAGGATGACGTGCTATGGCTGTGGCCACCCAACTTAGCACCTCATAGGTTTGCTGTGCCTTGGAAGGAGCTAGGCTAAGCCCAAGTTCAAGTTCAGCTTATCCAGGCTCCTTGGGAAGCTCATCCTCCTACTGCCTTCTCTAGCCCCCGGCACTTCCACTTGCAGTGCGCAGGCCTAGGTGCCAATGTGTCCCCATGCTTGCACACCTGAGTGGTCATTGTCCCCATGTCCACAACAATCCTTTGTGCTTTCTCTTAGGATTGCCGTGTGAATAAAAGCAAGAATAGAAAAACATTGTAGACGGTGCTGTGCCCGTGAGCTACAGCTGACCTCTGTGAACCCTGGTTGCATGAAGCTGAGGGTCTGTCTTGGGGAGAGTCCTTCACCTAGTTCACTGGTGATTGTCTTCTGTGCCCCTTGCCCTTCCACATGACTCATTTTGAAGTGGCTTCCTCTGCGGCTTGCTTTGTGTGCCTGTTAATGTGCAATTTTGTTTACACAGATTTTGAAGATCTCTTTGATGATGATGATGTCCAGTGAGACCGTCCAGCTGTACCGTGGCCACGCCTTTGTGACACAGGATGTGCTGAACTGCTCAGGAGGGTCAGATGATTTTAGAGACTTTGTGGCAATCATTAGAAATTAGGACCTGGTTAGCTGAGAGCAGAGGATTGTCTGAATCACCTGAATGTGCTGGTCGGTCACCTCTGATAGGACCAGCCTGTGTCCTTGTTTCAATTAAAAAAAAGAGCAGCACCAACACATGCAGGGTAATTCTGATTCTTGCACTTCTGGGTGAATGTTGCAATCCCTGAAAGTCTGTGTGTGCATGCATGTGCACATGCGTCAGCATGCTGAGAACCACATCCATCAGCATAGTAAACACATACCGTGTTGATAAGCAGTTCAGGGTGACTGGTGGTAAGTTGTGTGTGGGTTAGCAGACAGCGCAAGTCATGCACAGGCACCTGTCACAGCCCGATGGTCTGGTCCTTTCCCCTATGTGGGCAAAGTTTCACTGCCCCCCATTGTGGGCCTCGAGTTTTTTGCCAGCCTCCTTATCAGAGCAGCTGCTGTCACAGACCCAAGGCCTAAAGACTAAGATGAATGGATGGTGACTTTGAAAGAGATGCCTTCTCCATGAGAAATGTGCGTGTTGGCCATCTCAAAGGACAAAAATAGCATCTGTAGGAAAAAAAATTATTTTTTAAAATTTCTTACTAGCCCAGTCAGCAATTGATAATGCCTATGAAAAATTAGGATTACTATTTCATATCAAGGTGAAGACTGTTCCTTAGAGTATGAGCTGCCCATGCCTTGGTCCTTATTGGTAAACAAGGGATTTTGGTCTCTGGGATGCCTTCAAATCTTCAATCTTATGCAGGAAGGAATGGTCCAAGATTAAGAAAAGAAAGCCATTGTGCAGTAACTCAGCCTGGTGAGGGTCTGGCATGTCTCCAGACAGAAGCTACAAACGTGAGTGCTGTCTGTTGTCCTTAGAATTTCAGACTAGTCCTGTCCTAAGATGCCTCAGGAATAGAGATGTGCACAGCCATGTGGATGTGTGCATGTGTCTGCCTCCTGCACATTTGCGCCCACGCATGCTCTATGATGCCTCCCTTTGCCTTCATAGAGGCCTTGCAGTTCCTTCAGTACCATGAGGCCAGAACACAATTTCCACCTTTTTGTTTCCTCACCTTTGGATTTTAAGGAAGGGATGCCACCAGGTGAAAATAACTTTAGCTGGATGTCCTGTCTGGTTACTCATGCTTTCTCTCCAGTCTCCCACCTTCAGGGGAACATGTCAGGTCCCATGCCCACCAGTCAACAGCAACCATGCTTGGGCTGTGCAAGTTGGCCACTCCCATCTATCCTCTGGGTGGAAGAGCCTTTTCCCACAGGGCAGCAGATGACTTTACACAGTGACAGTGATGGTTTTATTTGGAGAATATTTTCTGCTAACATTAAGTGTTTTAGAGGGTTCTTGTTAAGCTCCTGATGCTTAGATGTGAGCATATAATGAAACAGTCCTTTCTAAGTGGTGTGATGCCAGCCACGTGGGTGGTATGGAGTTTCCCTTTGAAGTCTTTGAGTTTTGGGGGGTGGTGTATATGGAGAATAAAAATGGTTTTGTTGGTTAAATCTTTGTTGTCAAGGATTTGTGAAGGAAGTGCTTCCTTTCCCTGCCCTCAGGCTCCTGCTCTTTCCTGGGTCTGGTGAAAATGCCCGGCTTCTCCCCTGCTGTATTGCACCGGGCTTTGTACCGTCATTTGCGCAAAAAGACATTTGTGCTTTTACCAGGGCTCAGGAAGCCTCTAGGGAGTGGAGATGAGCCTCCGAATTCCTGGGCAGAGAGGCTGAACCAGTGTACTTCTAAAACAAGCATGTTTTTAGAAAAGGAACATTATTGATGTTAGAACTTACATTGCTGTGCTTACTGCTTAGAGCCAAGATGAGAAAGTACTGAGAAAGCATGCTCTAGTAAAAAGCCTCTTTGTCCCTCAAGAGGCCAAAGCTGGGCATTCAGGAGCTAGGCTGTCCTGTGACTGCCAAGATCTGGCTGGCCTCAAGATTCAGGCCTCAGTTGGGTGCAAAGGCTACTGAGCCCTCTGTGTGCTTCTGCCACACTCTTCTCCAGGCACCAGTTCAGCACCACAAGACAGGGCTAGCCATGTGCCTTCCCCAGCACCCACTTCGGGGTCAACACTGGATTGTCAGAGCCACATTGCAAGTTTTGTGTGAACAATGGTTTGTCTTGATGAGCCATAAAATGCTACTCAGTTGTGGCTTTTGTGGCTTTGATAGTTGCTGGGTAGTTTTTGAGGTGTGCTAGTGCTCTACAGACAAAGAAACAGCAGCAGGAAAGTCCAGGAAGTGGCACTGATCATGCAGAACACCAAGCAGATGGGTCTGGCCCATAGTAGATACTCAGCAAACGTCTATTAAATGCAAATAAAAGGCAGTGTGTCTTATGTACAAGGGTCTTTGAAAATATCTGTCTTGTCCCTTGCACATATCTGACGTACAGAGACTTTCTCTAGAGAGGGGAGAAAGCCAACCCAGACAAGTGTCAGGCATCAACCCAGTGCTATTCCCTGCAGTGACTAGGTTCCAGAGCACGTCACTACGGCACCAGCAATCTGCACAGGCTGGCTAGGACCTGCTAAGGGCCAGGGTTCATGAATCGCACAGTTGTGGGCACAGGGAATGGCAGGGATGTGGTACTCAGAAGTCTTGAGTTTCCGTTCATTCTCCTTGAGCCACACCAGACTGGAGAGTTCTGCCTGAGAGACCTTGACTCAAAGACACAAAGGGTGAGACCTTGCGAGGTCAGACCTTACCTGAGCAGAATAGGCCCAGACAAACATGACTGCCCCCAAAATGCCTCAACCACCTGAACCTGCAGGTAGTCTGGGCAGAAATAGCAGAGGAGCTGGGGCACCTTTGTTCAGGTCTGGGGTTTCTGCCAGCACTTTCTAGAGAATTCCCTGGCTTTGTTACCACATTTAGATCAGGTGGTACTGACCCACACCCCTCCCTACTACTCACCTCTACACTGTCCTCATTAGATCAGGTGGGTGCTGGCTCAGCCCTCTCTGCTCTTAATCCACACTTTCTTCATTGGATCAGATGGTGCTGGCCCACAGCCCTCCCTGATGTCCCAGCTCAGCCCTGGTTGACCAGAGTTTAATGACCTGTGAGTGTGGGGGTGAGGAGCAAGGAGGGTGGTGTTGTCATCCCCACTTCACAAGCTTAGGCACCGGTGGATATCAGATCACAGGAGCAACGGGGCTTTGACTCAGGCATCAAGTTCCAGGGGCACGCACACACTCCTGGCCAGGCAGTGCATCATGAATGTGCTCAGCTTTCTTGCACCCTTTTGGGTGGCATGGCAGGCTGCCCCAGCATCAGGGCCCTGTTTGCACTTTCCAGTTCCAAGGCCCTATTGTCTGGGTGTTTGTGTCCCAGAGGTGGAGTCCTTGGGGGGTCAGAAGAGCAGAGCCCTCACAAATGGAAGTAGGGCCTTTATTAGAGACCCCAGAGAGCTCCCTAGCCCTTCCCTGCCCCTCACCTCCACACTCTTCTTTGGATCAGGTGGGTCCTGGCCCACATCCCTCTCTGCTTCTCACCTCATGAAGGGGAGTCAGTGAGTTAACATGACTAAGACTCAGCAGTCACACAGCACTTGGTAATCACAGTGCTGTGTGAGTGTTAGCTATCAGTGTGATTACGGATCACAAGAACTATGTCCTTACACTTGGTGTTCCTGTTATATTCTTGAACCTTGGAGAAATTCCTGTTTTCTCACTGGACACTGTTTGCCATAGGTCACATAGAATTATGGAGGAAACTGATGCCAGGCCCCATCCTGGTGTCAAGAGCCATGTTCTCTCTGCTCAGAGGAGAGCAAGGAGACAAAATCAGGAGACGAGGTGGGTTGGAAAGGGCTAGGGAAACAGGTCACAGGCATAGCTGAAGTGCTGATATTCACCAGATGGAGGGGACTTGACAAAGTGATATGAACATAGCTATATACATTGTGAAATAACAGCACAGAATAGTAGAATTTACTTAAGAACCAGTCCAAATGCCAGGAAAAGTTTGAAGGTGCTCAAAATCACAAGCTATTGGTAAAGTATCAGGCCTACATGATGTCACTGAGGGCAGATATCTTGTAGGTCCTCAAGGGGTCCTGAGCAGCACTGGGGCTGGGTAGAGGTGCCCAGACAACTTTTCCTCCCAGACCCAGGGCCCACACCAAGCCGAGATCTTACTCCATTTTCTTTCTCAGTGCCAAAATACATTGTGTCTATGTTTTGAAGGTGGCACAGGTAACTCACTAAAAGCTATTGAAAAATAGGTGGAAGGATGGGGAAAGAACAAGAGAGGGTTTAATCTGATCAGTAGACAGTATGTGCATGTGTAACACTGGTGTAATCCCTTTGTACCACTATTATACACTAATAAAATAATGCATCAAAAAGTCAGTGGTGGGCCTAGATTGGGGATTCCTGTAAGGTAGAAACCTGAGATGCTTGTTCCAGTCAGTAGTCCTTAGGTGGTGGTTTTGTTTTGTTTAGGTTTTGCTTTTGTTTATTTTAACTTCAAATTTTATTCTGCTGAGACTTAATTTATACTGTTGGTTGGAAGGCTCACCTCTGTGTTCCTAGCCATGCCTGATGCAGATAAGTAAATGTTGAAAGAATCTATTAGAACTCTTGCTGAGGCAGGAAAACCACCAGACCTGCTATGAAAATAACATTTGGAATGGTTATATTTTCATTTACTTAGCATATTACTGATGATCAGAATCCCAAAAGATGTCATTACTGAAAGCCAGTGTTGAGCCAGTGTTTATCCACTATCACAGAGTCCTCAGAATGTTCAAGAGCACAGTGAGCTCCAGTGAGCAAACTGGAGCTCCCGGGTGAGGTGGCTGCCCAGCCTGGCCCCAGGAGGGGTGACAGAGCGGGCTGTGCCCGCAGGAGTGCAGTGTCCTGTTCCTGCACAGAAGTGCAGGGTCCTCTTGCGGTTCTGCCCTCTGAGCCATATGACCCGGGGCAAGTCTACCTTCTCTGCCTGTTTTCCTACCTGCACTAAGGATGATTATTGTAACATTTACCTCAAGAAATAGTTACAAATTTTTGCTTAGCATGATACTATTGAATAAGTGGCCAAACACAACTGTGAAGAAATACTTAGAGTATACAGATCTGACAAAGGACTCATTTTATCAAAAACTATAAATCAAGAAAGGCATGCAAAGCCTAATGAATAAGGGGGCAAAGATATCTTATTTATAACTCATTTTTATCTACACCTAGATGAATACAAATGGCCAACGAGCTGCTTTAAAAGATGCTCAGCTTCATCAGCCACCAGAGAAATGCAAATTAAATCCACAATGAGATCTTCACATTTACTTCAACAAGTAAAGTCTAAAAAAGATGGGACCAAATGTCACCAAGAATGTGGAGCCACTCCTGGAACTTCCAAAGCTGATGGGAGTTTCAGATGGTTCAACCACATTCAGAAAAGTTTTGCAGTTTCTTAAATTAAACCTGCACATAGCCTATGGACCACTTCTTCCCAATTTCCACTTAAGGTATTTTCTTAAGAGAAATGAATACATATGTGCGCCCACACACAAAAAGACTTACCAGCCTTATTCATAAAAGCTGCAAACTGCACACTGGAATGGAATGCAGAGTCCAGAATAAATCCAATATACTGGGTCAGATGACTTTTGACAAAGGTGCTAAGGAAATTCAGAAGGGAGAGTCTTTAACAAATGTGGTTCTGGAACTAAATATGTTCATGGAAAGAAATTATCCCCAGTCCTTTCCTCACATCGTACACAAAAATTAATTTGAAGCAGATGGTTGATGTAAAACTACATAACTTTTAGGAACAAATCTTCATAGCTTTGGTAGAAGTTGGCAAAAACATAAAACAATAGATGAAAAATTAGAGTCCAAAATTTAAAACTGCTCTTCAAAAGACACTGTTGTCAGGCCAGATTTGGTATGAGTATTAATGAGCTGCAGTACAGAATAGTTATAAACGAACCAATAGCCTAAGGTGAGCACAGACCTTTGTAAGGAATAGCTGAGTCTCGGCCAATCACAGGCTGCCAACTGATGGGCTGTGTTCACATAAGGAAAGTACAGGCTGTCACTGCACCTCAGTTTTGCTTTCTGGCCATAAATGCTGCATTTTCTGTGCCTGAGCATATTGCTGGTGGGAGTTGCTGAACTGTTCTGGTCTTGAGGGCTGCCCTGTGTGCAAATTGGCCTTTGCCCAACTAAACTCTGTTAATTTCAGCTTGTCTAAAGTTTTCTTTTAACACTATTAAAAAAATGGGAAGGCACACCAGGATTTCATTCTGTGTTGCTAAATGTCATCTTGGCACTTTACTCACAGAGTGTCAGCAAAAGAACTGACTGATGCCAACACCTTTTCAGTTTTTGATTTGCTGGAAAATTTTTACAACCATACAGTATTAAACAAAATCCCATTGAAAAAAAACCCAAAAAAAAAAAAAAACAAGAAAATGGGAATGCAGGCCACAGACTGGTAGAGGATGTTGTCAATACACAAAGCTGAGAAAAAATCTTACAAAGACTCAACAAGAAGATAACCCCCACCTTGGCCAAACATCAAGTAGACACTGCACTAAGAAGGTATGTGAGACTTATTACATACTCACTAGGCTGGCAAAATTTAAGTCTGACAGTTCTAAATGTTGGGAGTATGAAAGCCATTGGAGCCCATACCTAACTGGTGAGGACATACATCTGTGTAACCGCTTTGCAAAAGTATTTACCAGGTTTTTATAAAAGTCAAACATAGGTTTCCAATATGACCTAGAAGTTTTAAGTATTTTTTGAAGAGAAATGGAAACATATGTCACGAAATATTTATATGTACTAATCATAGCAATTTTATTAGTAATATCCAAAAAACCAAAAGGAATTCAAATGTCCATCAGCAGATAAATA